CGACCTCGCCGAGGGCCAGGTTCCTGTCCTCGACGTTTTTGGAGTTGGCACGTGTTGTTCTCACCATTTTGGTAGAGGGCTAGTGTTTGGCAAAGGGGGAGGGTTTCTTACTCGATTGTTCGAGCTCTCAACGAGAGCACCAAATGATGGACAGTGTACCCGGGGGTAGCTTATCCGAGGGGTTATTGCGGAGAATAACTAGAGAGAAGTCAGAGCAAACAAGTAAGAGAGAATGTATATTCGATATGTATTAAGCGTGGTTTACAATGAGGGAAAGGGGTGCTATTTATAGTAGTAATAAATGCTAGATAAGGACACGTGTCAGTTTTCTGGTGGTCGAATGGTCACCTCGACCGGGCCGAGGGCTCCTACCTGCCGAGGGCTGCAGGTGCCGAAGGCTTGGTTTTCAAGCCTTGTTCTCCTGTGATGCCTCTACTAACCGGGTTTTAGTATTGAATTTATTTTGACGCACCGTGACAAAGTGCTCGTCAATAAGTGAAAATGATAAGTTTAAAGTGAAATAAAAGATTGAAATATGTATTTGTTGTGATATTTGATATGTTATTTTTTGTTTCTTTTTGTTGCATAGCATGTGTTTCTTATTGTTGCATTGTGTTGCAGATTGTTGCAATGTGTTGATTATTGTTGCATGGTGTTTCTTATTGATGTTTTGTTATTGATTTTTGTTTTTTAATGTTTATTTAAATTTTTATCTTTGCTCCTTCCTTGAAATAAAAATAGCTAAATAGATTTATATACAAACACTACCTGAAATTGTAATTTGGTCATGAGCGAAGATGTCTATTTTTTTATTCAAGGTTGCTTTATTAATTATAGATTTTGAACATGTACCCAACATCTCTCCTAGGTCCTAACTCAAGGTATGGGAGCTTTACTTAAAAGCTTTAATCCTATATTTGGAGAAACAACAAATGCAGAGTTGATAGTGGCCAAGGATAAGTGAAAATGATAAGTTTAAAGTGAAATAAAAGATTGAACTATGTATTTGTTGTGATATTTGATATGTTATTTTTTGTTTCTTTTTGTTGCATAGCATGTGTTTCTTATTGTTGCATTGTGTTGCAGATTGTTGCAATGTGTTGATTATTGATGTTTTGTTATTGATTTTTGTTTTTTAATGTTTATTTAAATTTTTATCTTTGCTCCTTCCTTGAAATAAAAATAGCTAAATAGATTTATATACAAACACTACCTAAAATGATAAATTTGGATTTAAATAAACCAACCACATGATACATAATGAAACAATAAAAAATAAAAAAAAAATCAGAGTTATCAACAAAAAGAAACAATAGTCAACAAAAAGAAACAATGGGCAACAAAAAGAAACAAAAAAACTGAATTACAATATTTATATTTTTAAATTAATTCAATTGTTTTAGTGTTTAAATTTTCATTATGCACACTTCTTTTAGATTTTTTATTTATTTGTCATTCTTTTAAGTTTAATTAAATTTTTACTTTTAAATTTTTAAAATAATTTTGTATCTATATTTTATTTTATGCCATGTAATTTGATTCTTCTTTAGCATTTTTATATTTCTTTTTATGAGTTTTAATAATTTTATAAAAATTTCAATTATTTTTTTATTGTTTTATACGTACATTTTATTTAAATTAAAGGGTACATAAAGTCTTCTAAACAATAAAATTATAATTTTTCAACTTTTTAGTTTTGTGTAGATCTACCTCATTTCATCTTTTGATTTTTGTATTACCAATTTTTTTATATGTTTCTTAACGTGTTTCAGATTTATTTTTCTAAATTTAAATTCTGATTTTTTAAATTTAACTCAGAAGTTTTCAACTTAGATATTTTAGTATGCATTGATTGTTTTTTCTTAATTTTATTACTTTTTATTTTTTCTTATTTTTCATAATTTTATTATTTTCGAATTATCTTCATCATTTTTACATTTTACTAAACATTTAATTTTTTTTTTAAAATATGATTTGATTAATTTTGGAGATTGTATAAAGAGGTGTAAAATGAGTAGCATAGTGCCTTCACACGTTTCTTTGAGTATAGTTTCGAGGAGGCTTGTCTACGTACATGATCTATTTTTGAAAAGAAAAGTTAGCTAGGCTATTTTTGAAAAGAATTTTGAAAAGTGAAATAAGGATATTATTTTCACTTTTTAGCTTATTTGTGAAAAATTCCCAAGGAAGAACACATCCGAAAATCATTCATGAACCTCTAATATGAAAGCATTGAACATCAAACATGAAGTATAACCATACGACATATGTAAATTAAATTACAAAAGATTGACCTAAATATAAAATTGTGATGAATTTACCTAAAAATTCGAAACTGCAGTGCATAGGTAGTGAAAAATATGATAGAGAACAAGGATAAACTCTTATTAGGGGAAATAGAAAGCAAAAGAAAGATAAAATATGAAATATGTATGGAGAAGGTGAGGGATGAAAGTTGGATATGAAATACCAATATAGAGAAGATGAGGATGATCGAATGAGAGCTAGAGATGAAATACGTAGTATTTCATCACAGTACGATCGAGATATTAGCAACGAAGTAGCAATGGAGGGACGAGGGTTAGAAAAGGGATAGCGGCTACATACTATGTCTGAAGCCTAAGGACTTTTCAATTTGGGCAGAACGACCAAGTCAAAAATGGTCTTAGCGAATAAGTCATATTGTAAAATAAGTCCTATGTAAACACGGGTATATAGCTGAGTAGCTGACCGAATAAGTTGTTTCCATTTAGACCATTAAGTCGAAAGTAAACGCCCCTGTAGTGTTACGGATGATTGAAATACTGAGTTAAAGTTCTGCACCTAAATTCAATCAGTTTATTAGATAAATTGAAATCCCTATACATATTTTGGCTTCTGGGGTTGTGAAGATATGCCAACGCATTTACAGTGCTACAACCTTCATCTTAAGATTCCAAGTTGTTCCATCCAAATCTCTTTCCCACACTGTCTCACACATAGACATGAACTTTATTACAACAAATACCTGGTCATCTCCATGTCTTGCTGGCATGCATGCTTGCAATTTCAATACCTAAATGAACAATAGCAGAACAAGGACCAGCAGTTTATACCAAGATATCAATACATAAGAAAAAATTGCACTTTTAGTCCACAAGGTATATCATTGGTACACTTCTAGTACACAAATTGCTAATGTCAACATTTTCGGTCCTCCATTTTCCTGAAGTAGCTATTTAGGTAGTCCTCAATTACAGTTTTGAGATTGAACACTAAAAAGGTCATTTCGAGAAAACTTAGACTAAAAATACAGAGTTTGTGACATCACATACCCGGCTGAAAGTCTAAGGGGTATAACTCAGAGACAAAGTGTCATGATTCCCATACATAATAACTATGAACTGTGGAAGAGAAATTGTAACTAAATTGTTGTACTAAATTTTTTCTCTCTCAGTTACTAATGGGGTGAGGGGAAGTAGTTGAGTTAGCGACTCAACTTTAGAAAGGGCTTTATGTTATTTTTAATTTGATAAGATATATTGTAAGATTACATATCTATGTACAACAGTACATGGCTGTAAAGATAAATCATACACTTCAACAATTATAGAATATTATCATCTCCAAATATTACAAGTAAAAAGACAATGCAACAAACATTTACTCTTATGATAAATCTAGATTCTAAACACTTTGGCTATTCTAGATACTACAGACCAAACAAAAAGGGCCAATACTAACGAAACCCAACCTAGAGGGATCCAAATCATGTTTAGAATTTGAACAGGAGTGCAATGGAAGAAGGGTACCCTAAACATAATCCTATACTATGAAGCCCATATGTGCATATAAATATCTAGATATACATGATAAAAATACATGTTCAATTATTTAACTACAATAAAAACTACAGAGTAGAAAAAAGGTCAGCCGAAGGAAAAGTACCTGCTGCAAATTGACCAGGAAGGTGTAGGACAAGTCAAGATAAGTCAAATCTAAAAGCCCACATAAAGACAAGAGCCCATCAGACCCAACTGATGGGCATGACATTAATACTAATGACTTGATGAGAGGACACAATTTTGTTGTGGCAGATAAGCCGTCATCCTTAAGTTGGCTGCACAAAGAACCAAAACAAGCAGTTGCATCATCAGTATGATACACATGGGAAAAAGTTACTAATAGCCTAACTAGATTCTAGAACACTATGCCATAAAATGCAAGTCTTTGTCTGTTTGTCACTGTAGTGTGTGTATCAACTTCTAATAAACTTTTAAATAGCTTTGGTGAGAACTAAATGAAGAAAAGTAGTTCAACCCAGACTAGGTAAGTCAAATATACTCACCTTAGAATCTGGTTCCCACATTGCAACTTGAACAGACACCCATTGATGTGTCAAACTAATTTCCTTATTTTAAAAATAAATGCACAATAAACCATTGCAGCAATTATCAAGAATAGAAATGAAAGTGTCTTCCCAACGTGGTAAACCTTCAATCGTAAAGTCCCTTAATGAAAACAATCAATCCCATGCAACAAGAATGTAGTCCCTCTATATGTGAGTGATCTGCTATGAGTGCCAATGCACCATAAATGGCCTTGCAGTTCAAGGTCTCCTTTCATTCCAGCTGTTTCCCATATAAACTTAAACAACCCCAGGGCTCGATCGAGCTGCTTCACTCCTCTCAAAAGCATCTTGTCTTCATATGATGTCAATATTTTCCCCATGCAAAGGCGGAACTTATCCCCATGACCAACAACGTATAGTCCCCCACGAACTTCTACTTCAATATCGTTTACGCTACCATATAGATAATAAGTGAGAAGTGTAAATAAGCACCGAGATGAGTGGCCCAGTCTCTTAGTTAATATCTTTTGTACTAAGCTTTCTTGATGGCGATTTTCCCTGTATCCAATGTTTTTATCTATCCGAATATTCCTTATCTGATACAGACCTTCTTTCATGACCTCTATCTTCCTAATCTCTAAAGATAATTTTGATACCTCACTCAAGCAGTCAGCAAGATCAATGAACATCTCAAGAATGTCTTCCCACTTGTGTGAAGTTGGAGGTGAATTGGCATCTCTTGTGGGTGCAACTCGCATCCATGAACTGGAATCGGGGTTGTAAGAAATGGCAATGTCCAAAACCTTCAGACAGCTCAAAACTATTTGCTTTGCCATTTTAGTTTCTTTACTAGGGAACTTAGAATCCAAATACTCCATCTCAGATTTCAACTTATCTAGTATCACCTCAAGCGCACCCGTCCATATCTGATGTTGAGTTACCTGGGGGCATATCGTTGCCCTGACTACCTTCCTTTGTTGAGCTGAAATATTCAAGATCTCAGAAACCTTTGTGAGTGAATCCACAGTCATTGGTTCTCTCTCACCAGCTTGATTGAAACAAGGAAGCTGCTGGTTCTCCTTTTCATTGCTCCCTAAAGACATAATAATATTTTTCCTAATGATTTCTTGAACAAAAGGACACCCAATAAAATCTCTTGCTAGAGACTTAAAAAGATGCATGTTTTCTAGCAAAGCATCATCTTCAATTATCGATTCATCAATCACATTAACAGTCCTACCGTTAATGACATCCACATTATTCAGCAAGTGAGATAACATTGATAGCTTTGAGAAGGCTTTTTCATACCAATCAGACGAAAAAGACTCCAACTTCGGTTCCTCCAAGCAGTGGTACGAAATGGAATTCATTCTGATCACAGCATTCTGCCTGGCTGACAAAACCCTTGACCCACATAGGAGGTTTTTCACAGCTCTCATTGCTATCGCCTAACAAAACTTCACACCAATAACATTTCTACGAAACCTGCTTCCACTGAACCACCAGAAGTTGGGTTCTTCCCTATACAGTTCACCATCACATTATAATCATACTTTCATTCACCTCCTCTGTGGCATTTCATCGATCAAATAGCGCGTGACTAACAGACCAAAGATAAATTGAAGCTTCACCTGCCACTACAAAAAGTGTAGAGATAACTGGAGTTGGAATAGGCCAAGAGGTTGGCGTCTCGAACTGGCGGCTGGCGCACTGCGTCGGAGTCGCCGGCGCGCTGAATCGCCGGTGTCCCGGGCTGGCGGAGTGGCGGGCTGAGTGGGCCAGTGGCTGACCTGAGTCCTAAGTCGAGAATTGAGATTGTCGAGAGAGTTAAGATGGCCGTATGTCTCTTAGTTGGCCCGACTGGGATTCAATTTGGTAGTATTTTGGGCTGGATTTTTTTCTATGGCACTAGGCTTATTGTTTTGGACACTGGTCCATCACTAAAATTTTTGGTGGAAATAACCCGTTTAGTACACTTTTTTCAATCGCATTTCATTTATGTCACCTAAAAATTTACTTTTCAAATATAAATTTCTGCCTTTTCACTATTCATTTTTTTATTTCAAAATAACTAAACCTGAATCAAAACAGCCCTAGAGATCGGCAATCTGGCATCCTTACGAAGCAGAAGCGTATGCGACGGCTCTTCTCCTCCTGCCTAGATCTGGCTTTCCCTCCAGCTCCGCCCTTTGCCCCCCGTCTTGTGCTGCTTCGTACTCCACGATCCGACCTCCGTCCTATGCGGCTTCTCCCTCCGCCCTCCGCACTTCGCCCTCCGACCTGATCGACTTCACGCTCCGCCCTCCGCCGGTGCTTGCTCGGCAACTTCGCTGCTTGCTGAATCACGGCTTAACCGCCTGCTGATTTCCGATATTTAGATATGTGTTTGAGATTTGCATGTATATGATCGATTTCATTGCAATTTTGTTTTAATTTATTAAGGAGTATCTAGTTATATGCTAAACTAGTTTGTTTGTTTTTAGAACCATGACTCCGATTAAGTTTTTGAATTAATTATCATCTAAACTTATGGATGCACTTTCCAGTAATGCACATGGAGAGATTTTTTCAAGTAATGAACATGGAGAGCTTATTTTGTTCCTTGTAAGTAATATGCCCATGAAGGGATCCTTTTTGGTTGGGGCAATTTCCTATTAATACAAACTTCTAGTCAGTTCAGACTACATTAATTCTATCGGAATGAATTCAACAACTTTACACTGATTTTGTTAAATACGAGGATTGCTTAACACTCATAGTTGATTGAAAATAGAGATTTGTTCTTGCTGGTTCAGATTTAGGAGATGCTATACTTCTGAAATGCTTTTTCCCTCCTGACTTGTTTGGTTAGGGGATTTCATTGGAGACAAAAGGGGTGGAAAGGTTTTCTATTCTACTAATTTATCCCTATTTTTCAGTCCCCCTTCGGAAGGGTTGCTAGCTAGTTTTGAAATTTTAATCCAAACTCTAAACTAACGAACTCTAACACATATAAATGAGGTGCTTTGAGAAAAGATAGAAGTAGTTGAGCAGGAGACAAGGGTGCTTGATGGGTTGTTCCATTATAGCCAATTTGTTTTTACTGTGGAACCCCTCTTTGGTTTATTGTGCATTGGAGATGTTGAAGTGTATGCTTGATGGGTTATTCCATTATTGCTAACTGTTATGCTAGTTTTGGATGTTGTTTGGTTAAATTGTTTGGTCTAGAATCACCAATCATATATTTCTCCGTAATGTGATATGTAGAGTTCTTTGTTTTTAATGTTTCATAGATTTTTTCAAAGATTGAGAATAAAAAAGTGTATGCCTCTTCATTAGTTATTCATAGATTGACTGAGTTAATGTTCAATTTCAATCTTTATTTCTTATTTTGTTATCTTCTAGTTGTGGATGTCTTTTTGTGTCAATTTGATTGGATTTCATCTTGGAGGAACATAATTAAAAAGAAGTACATGAATATGTAAGGATGAGAAAATTGACAAGGAATAAGAAGTGAGGAGAACCAAAGGCAATATACGGTAGTATGTATTAGATAAACGTAAAAATTGTAATAATAGATTGAGTTATATGTATTTTGTGATGTTCTTATATATTGTTATTGTTGCTGGTGTTGCATCGCATGTGTTTCTTTTTGTTGCATCGTGTTTTTTTCTGTTGTATCGTGTTGCATATTGTGATATTCTTACACATTGTTTTTGTGATATTCTTATATATTGTTTTTGTTGCTCGTTGTTTTTGTATCGTGTTGTTTTTGTGATATTCTTATATATTCTTTTTGTTGCTCGTTGTTGCATCGCATGTGTTTCTTTTTGTTGCATCTTGTTTTTTTATGTTGTATCATGTTGCATTTTGTGATATTCTTATATATTGTTTGATGGAGTATATGGCCCAGGAACCCCCGGCCCATAGACTCCTACTATTCTGATAAAGGCCCAATAGGCCCAGGGGGCACAACAGGCCCAAAACACAGCGCCTCAAGTACTGAGCAACCCACGCAGCACACTGGGAGTGCCTTCGGCCCCCTGGCCGATGGCTCCAAATCCTCACAGGACGGCCAGCTCAAGCACACAAAGTTACTGGGAGAAAACGGCGAAAAACGGTAGCCTTCGGGACCTAGAGCCCTCGGCACTAAGGGGGTCCCCGGTACTCAAAGCCCTCGGCTAATCACCTGCAGCCGAGGGCACCTTTCTCGACATAATATCCACTCCACATGCGCCTGAATCACCGTACCAAGTACGACGTCACATCCAACAACCGCATTAAATGCGGCCACATGCGATTGTCAGCGTCAACCGATTGATGACCACTCGGCCAATGGATGCTTGACACGTGTCCCTATCTGGCATTTATTACTACTATAAATAGCACCTCATTTCCCCATTTGTAACCAGAAGCAAAATACGCTGAATACATATGTGATATACACTCTCTCTCTTACTTACTTGCTCTGACTTCTCTGTAGTTATTCTCCACAATAACCCCTCGGATAAGCTACCCCTCGGGTACACTATCCATCATTTGGTGCTCTCGTTGAGAGGTCGAATAATCAAGTAAGAAACCCCCCCCCCCCCTCGCCAAACACGAAACACTTAGCTAAAATGGTGAGAACAACTCGTGCCAACTCCAAGAACGTTGATGACACGAATCTGGCCCTCGGCAAAGTCGATGTCCCCGAAGCCTCTAACAGGGCTCCCAAGGGCAGCGGTGTCGCTAGGTTGGACCAGACGGCTGTCAACCTACGCCATCAGATTCAACAGAATGCCCCCGATGCCCGCCTCGGCATCGAGGCCAAGAAGAAGGACCAGAGCGAGAATCAAGTTAGCCCCCGGTCATCACTATCGATGTGCAATCGGCGTTTTCCGCCTTCATCCAGATGCTCACCCAGAACCCGGGTGCCTTCGGCACTTTGGTTCCCCTCCAACCGCAGGTCGGGGAGAATATTGATGCCTCCCCCTCATCCACACCCCCTCGGGAACCCAGTCCTCCGAATTGGGAATGTCGAGGGGGTATTCGCCCATGATACGGCCTCCCAGGAAGTCCAGTCCCAGGACCGCCACAACGTGAACAAAGAACAACCCCGGACCTCCGCCCTCGAGAGACTCGGAGGGGTGCAAGACCGCCGAGGGGTCCAAGACCGCCTCGGGGGGAAGGTGTTCCAGAGGCCTCAGGAAACTGGCGGATCCGTCTCCAGGGCCAATGAAAGACGTCCCCCTCAGGACAAAGGCAAGGCACCTCTCCATGCCAACGACGCCCGCCACCAAATCAACCAGGCCCACTCGGCCCGTGTCCATTCGAAGGGGGCGGAGGCCCTCCCGAAAGACCCCCGGGATGAAATCATTGCGGCCCTCCAGCGCCGGCTTGATGAGATGGAGGCCACCAAAGCACACGCCACCACCTCTGCCCCTCATACAGACCTCAAGTATGAGGCGATGTTCGCCAAGATGGAGGAAATGCAGAAGAAGATAACTGAGGGCTCCGGGGAACCCGCCATACAACTCTGGACCCGGACGCCATTTACCCCAAGGGTATTGGCGGCCCGGATCCCGGAGAAATACCGAGGGTAACTCACCAAGCCCTACAACGGAAAAACTTACCCCCAGGAGCACTACAGCAGATACCAAAACAGTATGATGATGGTGGGGGCATCGGATGAATATTTGTGCCGCTGGTTCCTCTCCACCTTAGAGGGGCCGGCTTACGAATGGTTCAATCGATTGCCTGAGGGCTGCATTGACTCATGGTAAGAACTCGCCCAGCGATTCTTGACGCAATTTGCGGGAAGGCGCCGCACAAGAAAGCACTTCTCCCACTTGCTGACAGTGAGGCAGAGGAAGGAGGAGACCCTTCGGGACTTCTTGGAGCGCTGGAGAATGGAGGCTGATAAAGTTGATGGTGCAGACGACGGGACCCTCCTGGCCCTCCTTCAAATAGTACTCTGCCCCGGGAACTTCTCAAGGAACCTCATCATCAACCCCCCGCGATTATATAAGGGCCCTACAGCGGGGGGACAGGTATGCCGAAGCCGAGGAGGTGGAGAAGTGCCATCACAACCCCGATCAGCAACGCCCTCGGCCAGACGACAA